TAAAAAATCCGAATTAATTTCTAAATGCAGACATGAAAATAAGTTCCTATTAAAAAATCATAAAAACAAATGACCAGTCTAAAATTATCCTGATTCTAAAAAATTCTTTTCATGATTTTTTAATTATCTAATGTAGTTGATGCAACTTCCTGGTTGCAAAATAACTACAGTTATTACATAATTAATTATAACAATTTAGCAGTCAGTTTGTAAATATTGTCTAAAAATTTTAAAAACTTTTTTTTTAGTGGACAAAAGTTGCAATGGTGTCCCCCCTCCCTTACATGATACCTTGCGGGCCCTGATCGGAAATATACTCTTTTTATTTAAAAAAAATCTGGTCAGCCTATATATATATATATATATATATATATATATATATATATATATATATATATATATATATATATATATATATATATATATATATATATATATATATATATATATACCTCTCTTGCATGGTTCAGCTTTTGTTAACTCACCTTAAGACAAAGCTGAATTGTTTGGTAAGAACTTTTCATCAATATCATCTCTTGACTCCACTAATCACATCCTACCAGATATAGCCGACAAACAGGTTGATCAATCGCTTGACATTCATATCACTCTAGTTTCTGTATCTAAAGTGATTTCCTGCCTAGTCTTGCAGAAGGGTTCTCCAGAGCTATCATCTATACTTTTAAAACTATTTAACAAGTGCTTATCTTAGCAGAGTTTTCCAGCCTGCTGAAAAGCAACATTTGTCCCTTTTTTCAAAAATTCTGGAGACGTGAGTAAAAAAATCTGACTCGTCTAACTTCTGTCCAATTAGTCTTCTTCCTATCATAAATAAGGTTTTTGAGTCTTTAATTTACAAACACTTAATCTCTCATCTTGAATCTAATAACTTACTTTCTGATCATCAATATGAACTTCAATCTTCTTGTTCTAATGCTAATTTGTTAACGGTAATAACCAAAAGGTTTTATCTTGCATTAGATAGATGTAAAGAGGTTAAGGCTATCGTCATGGACATTTCTAAAACCTTTGGTAAAGTTTAGCTTACTTGTCTTCTCCATAAGCTCTCTTCTTACAGTGTATCAGGTACAATCATTAAGATTATTGAACCCTTCCTTATCAATTGTAGTATAAAAGTTGTCCTCAATGGACAGCACTCTTTTTTTTCCCTGTAACTTCAGGGGTTCCTCAAGATTCTATCCTTGGCCCTATACTTTTTTTATTTTACATTAATGATCTTCCAGAAATTCTCACATTTAAGGTTTCATTGTTAACTGATGATACTACCATTTATTCTTCATAGATTATCCTGGCCATGTTATAAAAATCCGGAAAGTTTTTTTCCTTAAATATTCTGAAAAAATCCGGAAAATTTTTTCGTAATATTCAGAAAAAATCCGGAATTTACAAAGAGATGTTAACAAGGGGGGAGGAGGCGTGCTCTCCTCCATTCTTTTATATTACTATAATATTACGCCAGTTTAAAAGTATCCTTATTCAACAGATATATGAATAAAAAACTACATAACTTTTTTCATCAAAAAAAGAATAATAATAATGATAAAATTTTAACAATAATAATAAGAAGAAGAAGATAAAGTCAAAGAAGAAGTAGAAAACTATATTTAAAAGCTGTTAAACAATGCGGAAACTTTTTTAGACATGCACTTATACATTTAAATACATAATAGATAATGAAATATTGCTTCAATTCACCAAAGATATACAAATAGATAAACGTTTAACGCGTTGTTAGAGATCAGAGGTGCCACCATAACTGAAATCCCATGGGCGTTATTTGAGCGTTTTGGTTTTTTTGCAGTAATTTTACAAAATAAACCAACATATATCTATTTTCGGAGCATACTTTAACCGCAGTAAAAAATAATAATAATAATAACTAGACTTCTAAAATACAAAAACTTAGAAATCTTTAGTAATAAATATGTTAAAAAAGAAAATAAATAAATAAAAAGTAAAAAGATATTGAATTATTTTTCTGTAATCAGTTAGTTTTCTACAATTAGTTCTTCCACTCAGTGTTTAAAATGTTTTAAACTTAATTTACAATACAAAGTCTTCTTTTATAAAAAAATCTCCACTTCAAAAACTAAAAAAGTTATAACGTTAGTTAGATATAGTTTAAGTTTTAAGTTTATTTTAACTATAATAAACAAAAGGTAAGGCATTATTAACGATTCACGTGCTCATTCATGTGATTCAAAATTTAAAAGATTTAAAAAAATGATTTTTTAAAAAAAAATATAATTAATTTTAACAGGCGCTTTTTGAATTGAAAAGAAAAGGTACCTCAAAATGTGATGTTTTTAAAAACCTAGTAATGGCACTTAAAAGCAATTTGATTTACTTGACGTTTAGTCAAAGTACATATGTTCAGATTTCAATAAAATAACTACATACAATAAAATCCTTATAGTTTAGAATATAGTTTTATTATGTAACACTTATTTGTATGAAATAACTTATTACTAACAAAGTAATTAATCTTAGTCAGTAATAATAAGTTTTTTTTATAAGTTTTTTTCACCCTTTACGAAAACAAGTTGTACAGAACGACCATGTTACACTACAGTATTATAGTAACTGTAAGATTAATAGAAGTTTCTACTAGTTGAAGGTCATACCAAATTTCTTATTCTTAGATCGAACTATTTGTTTCACTGCTCTCTAGAAATAGATTTTACTAATCTCAAAAGAGTTTAAATTTAACGATATTTCTCATATTTGACGGAAATTAAAAACTGATTTCTCTCATAGCTTTTGTAACAGAATTTTTATTTACGAGTACCGTTTATTCTACCATCGTCAAAACTTTTTAAAGTCTCCAATTAATAAGAAATTATGCGAAAAAATTATACTTTCAAGAAGTGTGTATGAAAAGAGAGTTGCAATGGTACGACTGGACAGAAAACGAAATAATGATGCAGTAATTTTTGAACCACCGACCAACAAACTGAAAAAAGTTTCAGTCCATAAGCAAAGTGATTTACTTAAAAAATAAGGTTTTTAACAATAAAAAAAGAAATCTTTTTGCTAATAGCTAAAAGAGCTATTTAAAAAATGTAAATTTACAATATTTTAAAAAAGAGAAGAGTTTGACACGCATCGCTAAATTTATTTTAAAAGTAGGAGATCATACGCTCTTTTGCGCTGGGATTTTTTGGGTTTACTCTGCGAGGGAAATCTTTTAATCTTTTTGGCTTTGTTTGTTAACTAAATATAGCGTTCTGTAATTTATGGACAACAAATTTACTGTTTATATATACTTGTTACTGTTTCATTTGGTGACAGTAATAAACAGAAAAAATTTTATAAATTGTATTTTCGAAAACTTTTTAATTATCCGGAAAATATAAAAAATTTAAAAAATATCCGGAATTCCGGAAATATCCAGAAAAAGATAATTCCTGATTCTTGTCTTAATGAGAAGCCAACACTCTCTGATTGCTTGGAGGGGGCATTTGAGCTTGAAAAGGATCTCACTTCTGCTACAGCATGGAGGTCTCAGTGGCTGGTGAACTTTAACTCAGATAAAACTAAATTTTTCAGCTAATCGTTATCACAATCTAGATCTTCCTATATTTATAAATGGTAATGTACTCAATGAGTCATCTACTCTTCATCTTCTAGAATTAACTCTTACGATTTTCCTTGGAAACCATTTATCAAACCCATTGGAAAATTAGCATCTAGTAAGGCTGCATCTCTTTATTGCGATCATCACTTTCAAAATCCAACCTTGCATTGAATGTTACCATATTTTGAGCAGATCTTTGAATGATGCCCTTTCTCTTTTAGACAAGGTGCAAAAACACATTGTAAACATAGTTGGACCTGCTCTTGCAGCCAACCTTAAACCATTGTCACAACATCTTAATGCTGTTTCTCTTTCTCTTTTTTATAAATACTATAATGGGCACTGCTCTAAAGAACGAGTATCTCTTGTGCTATCTACTAAAATTTATTTATATTATATAGTGTTCCGAAAATCCTTATTCCTCTAATTATTATTTTTTTTAAATATATAAATGTACATACTTTATATATTTATATATATAAATGTACATATTTTATATATATATATATATATATATATATATATATATATATATATATATATATATATATATATATATATATATATATATATATATATAATATATACTTTTGATATAAAAAATATATATATATACTTTTGATATAAAAAAAACCATCCAGCATATGAAGTGATTTATCTAGTAAAATTTTACTAGTTAAATAATAGTAAAACCAAATAGTTAAATCTTCTAAATATAGCTAATAATTTACTAATTGGCGTAAAATATCTGATTATTAATTGTTATAAGTGAAAATGCAAATGAATATTTACATATATAAATTATATTTACATAAATATTTATATTGAACACAGTGGCATTTAAAACTACTCAGGATTTTTATCTGAATACATTAGCTTTAAAATCTTTCAAATAAAACTTTCAAATAACAAAAAATTTCTCTAAAATAATCTTTTTCTTGAGGTTACCGAGTTTTAAAACTTTTTTTATAAAACTAAATGCAGGTAATAAAATTATTTTTATAAAATTAAATGCAAGTAATAAAACTCTTTTATAAAATTAAATGCAAAAAACTAAAGATACCTTTTTAAAACAAAAGCATTCCAACAAGACAAACTCATTTTAAAAAAAAAAAATTAATTTAAATTAAACTTAAATGAGTTTTTAAAACAAAAGTTTGCCTTGTCTTAAAAGTGTCAACATTACTTTTCGTTCGACTTATTTGTAAACTCAAATATTAGGATTTTGTAAACAAGAAATATTAGGATTTTGTAAACTCAAATATGGTTACTTAATTTGTTTATTAACAATGGTATAGATGAATTTGTGAAAATCAGCAATATTCGACCAAAATTCATGAAGTCGACAAGCTCGCAAATTTATTGTAACCTATATACAAAAGTGATTTAAAAAAAAAACTACCTTGTTAGTTAAATAACGTTTACTTGCAACCGATGGCAACCTTAATACTCTTTCCAAAGCAGAAAGTAAATCTATACCCTCAGGTAATATTAAAGGTGATAAAATCTTTTCAATTGATGTTACTTCAAATATCTAAAAACATAAATTTTTAACCAGTTGACAGATATTTTGGCATTCTTCTTTAAATAAAACATGGTAACACTTAACTACAATAACAGTCATGTTATAATAACATTAACACAGTAACAATTTCAGTGTAACACATAGAAATTATAACAGAAAAACATAATCTTACTTGATGATTATAACTACCTTTTGTGGCATTTTTCCTAGAACAATATCAAGTGGGAGATCAAAAGGGTCTTTTTGAATAGTGTTTTTGTCCGAAGGTTCTTCATTACTCTGTAATACAACTCTCCCATCACCTAACAAATTAATAAATAATGAGCAGCAAAGTTCAGATGTTAGGTTTGCAATCTGTCAAATGTCTACCAAAAATATATTTTTGAGTAACATATTTTAAAACAACTTTTTCTATTGTTTTCATTAAATAATGTATTACCAATCAATGCGAAACAGTAACAAGCAAACAACAGTGTTCTTTACATAATAATTATAGTAACTAAAAGAAATATACAAAAAAAGTACATACTTTTATTAAATTAAATTTGCTCTTAATTTTACAAATAGCTATAACCTTTTTTGAAGCAATTAAAATAAAGCAAAATTCCTTGGAATGATTAAACTTTAAATGCATTTTAGAGAGAAATAATTTTGCTGCCAAAAAAATTCTTTTTTTATATCATTTTTATTTTAACTGTCAATTAATAAATTTATTTCAAGAACACAACTTATCTTTTTTATTATTTTTTT